ATACATGTTTGTGTGTGTATATATATATATATATATATATATATATATATATATATATATATATATATATACATATGCCTATGTTAGTGTAACTATAATCATTTACTTCTTACTGATTTTGAAAACAAAGAACATGCCAGTCATTCTCAATAGAAAGGTATAGTAGTTTGCAAAGTTACCTAAAATTGCAAAATATAAAAAGATATTTCAAAAGATTATAAACATTCCTGATATACGTTACGAATTGACAGGATTAAAATAAAAAGTTAGTTCATTTGCACAACTCGAGTGACTTACAAATATAGATTTGGAGTATAGAAAGTGTAAAAATTGATCCTGTCGTGCATGCTCCAAGAATTAGTGTCGAAAACAGTAATTTTAATTATGTGCATCAAAGTTGATATAAAAGAAAAACCGACATCATAAGCTGCATAATTACGGTAGGCCTACCTCCACGGACTTACCTTAGAGAAACGGTGTACCACGATCGGATCAATATTAACAAATGTAGAAAAAAACAGTATAAAACTAATGAATAACCGGATAGCGACTAACCACATTAAAATAAACATTATTTATATGAACACAGGTTAAAATAATTTATTCTCCTCTTCAAAATTCTATTGGCTGTCTTATTTGTATGAGAGGCGACCTCATCTTCACTCTTTACTCATCATCTATTCTTCTGTCCAAGCTTCAATCACATATTTTGTTTTTCAGTCCAATGTCAATCGACATAGAGCTATGTTGTGTGTATGTTTTTTTGTTTTTTTTTGTTTTTTGTTTTTTTTTGTCAATTGACCTTGCGCAGTTAAAACTAATTAGCTTACTGATATAGGCCTATATAGGCCTATCTTATACGTTGTTCGGTTCTGCATTGGCAACTGCATGCCACCGATCATTACCTTAATGTAGCCTATGCATTGCGAAAACTCAAAGGCATTACACATCAAGCTTAAGTTAAGATAGTTGCCTCTCTTTGCAGGTTTTAGGTAAAATAACACAGTTGAGTGTTGTGTTATCAGATAACTCAAGGGCAGATAATTATGCGTACGAAACTCGGAATTTTTAGTATCGTAATGAAACCTTTTTGAAAAACACGATTCGTTTTACGTGCTTTTTTTGTAAAACATTAGCAATACATTAGCAATCGATTCTTAACAAAAAAAGCTGTAGTAATATTTGAATCATCTCCACAAAAGGTTAACACTGTTTGGAACGTACAAAGGCATCTGAATATCGTTATTGTTTAGGCTATATTGAATCATCACTCACGATAAAATATTCTCTTGATTAAACTTGCTTGGTTTTCTCCGATCGGGGCATGCAATAATACATCATTATCAACATTTTTGAATAGACGTTTTGTATAACAATATGGGTAATGCCGAATGTCACCTGAGGTAATCGGTTTGTATTACATAGGAATGAGTACGATTGTAACAACCTATGTTACTTGGCATACATTACAAATACAAATCGATATGTTTAACTTACATAAAAAGTAATTAAGATGGATTCGCATACACCTATCAATTCAAATATGTTCGTGTAACATTTGCAAACCTATACAAATTTGAATACATGGAACAAACTAAAACTCGGATAGGCTATATTTTCACAGCAATACCATTCCAAACTATGTGGCAAAGACAAGCCAAACCAATCACTCGTCACAAAAATCTATTTTTAGTTATTAATACAGGCTTAAAGATGAAAATGAGAGCTATAAAATGTTTAAAAAAATCATTTAAATCCGACATTTTCTTATTAAGTTACAAGCATTTAAACATAGAGCTGTTTAAAGGACAATATTTGAGAAATTAGCCAACAAATTTTATGATTTCGGGCATTTTTCGGGCATAAACCATCACCAAATTGTTAAAAATTGTTGTTTTAACACTGAAAAGAGGGAAATAACAGCATATCATGATGTATCCTATATAAAGGTTAGTTTAGTCCAATAAAATGGATTTCAAAGTTTTTTTTACATTCCAGCATGTTTTGACCATTATCTCTGAAACACGATTTGTGAAGAGTGACTGGTTTGGATTGTCTTTTCCACATACTCAAGCTGTTAGTGTGCGCATATATTCTAGAGGTTAAATATTAATGTTAACGAAATAGAAGTTCTTTAACAAAGAATTCGGCCTGGAGCCAGTCGAATTCACTACCGTATGTGTGCTTGTAACATTTACCTTAGGAAATTGAGGTTCGTGTGATTGAAACTTAGGCATATAAAGATATATACAATACCTTCAATTTGTTATTTCTTTCAGTTGGAATTAATATACAGCAAAATGACATATATTGATTTAGGCACGGTTCGCAATGTTCAAGAAATACATCTAATTTGTATAAACCAACCGCAGAATACAGCCACAATTGAGACAGCAATTTATGGCAGTAGTTTGTGTATCAGCATACCTGACACAGTCCCACTTTAGCAAGCTGCACTACGCATGCGTGGAACACGCAGCCATGTGCACATATTTTACGCACGTTGATTTTGCGTCGTTGTTTCGGTTGACAGACCATTTCAAGTGTGCAACGATGACGTAACCAGGTTATAATCCGCTAGTAATGATTTGTGTAGACCTTGATTTAGTGATAGTATCATCCATCCATTACTATCCAGTATTCAAATGATTGCTTAATGAACGTCTTCTCTCTAGATAAATTATAACTCCATAGATCCAATAACATTTTCTCACTGATACTATTCGAATACATACGGTAGGCCTTTAAAAATTAGGCATATGTTACTGTATTCTGATTATATAGCAAATTCTGACTCAGTTATAAAATCATTTATGCATTCATTCCTCATATATCAGTAAACCTGAAATGATATGTTGTTGGTGTTTTACTACCTTAATGGACAATATGTATACCGGTTTAATGACTATTTTTAGAACGATATATTCATGTTTAAGATTAATTTGCACGTGCACGATTCCGAACTCCTTCTCGTCCTTGGAAGGAGCATCTGGATCATTAGAGCTTGCACTGTTTACTCAACTCATTAAGGCACAATATAATCAATAATGCTTCATCTTGGTGTGAGTCTAGGTCTACCTAATTATGGAAGGTGAAACGATGACTAATAATTCTCTACAGCAACAACACTAATATCTAATCATCACTGAGGCAAGTTAAATGAATTCAGGAACTTTAGTTCTAAATAATACAGTCGGGTGTGTATAAACTATGCCGGTTACGTAATAAATACACGTACACGGGCGCGTACAAGGATACAAGGATAAAAGGATACTTTATTCATCCCGCTACGGGGAAATTTCATGGCTGAATACAATAATGTGAAAAAGCAAAAGACGATTAACTGATAGTGATAATAATAATAATAACAAAAATAATAATAAAAGTAATATTAATAGTAATAATACTATTGATAATAATAATAATAGTTATGATATATTTGTATTTGTATTAACTTGTTTTCAATACTGGCCACCCTAACTGAAAACCCTCTACCTCTGATGTTCACTATTTGAAGTCCTTAATTCCTCTGGGAAAGAAGGAGAGACATTAAAACGCGTATAATTCATTTGTAATTCTGATTCCGTATATTAGTATGTTTTTGTTTTTTTTTTGTTTTTTTTTTATTGTTCAATTGTCAATCAATTTTAAGTTAATGTTTTCGAAACTACAGTGTGTAATTTGTCTTTATCTTCAACGTGATCCAATTGGAAATCACAGTATATATTTTATTCGTGTGAATGAGAAATTGTGAACTATCTTAAATTATCTCGCTTTTAAAATGAATGTATGTTTAATTTACAAGAGACGGTATGCTATGTATTCGCCTGTACAACCCTGTGTCAACATGAGATTATTGCGCTCCTAATGTGCATTGGTTGCCGCCCATACCCAGTCGAGAATGGATTGCTTATAATGAAACCATTAGTTGTACTGTACTTGAATTATACACGCCTGTATGGGTCCAATGTTGACACAAATTCTCAACAATAGATTCGCTTATTGTGGACAGATGAATTCATCATTTACACCTTTCAATGCAAGATTGCAAGATTGTCAATTTCAGGTAATTTATAAGCACTCGGCTTTGTCCTTAATAGCTTTATCATCATTAGCATTAGATAATTGGTATGAATTATTAGGATACAACTGCGCATGCCAAATTGGGCGGTACTAAGCAATACCCTCTGATCAATCATCGATATAATCGATATCAATTCATAATCGATGATTATTCATCAATATAAGGCATTGGTTTAACTATATCAAATCACTCATCGATATAGGCCTATTTGATATCATTTAATGATCGATGATTCATCATTGGTATAAGGGATTGGTTTAATTTTATCAAGGATCAATCATCGATATAATCGATATCATTTAATGATACATGATTGATCATCGATATATGGGATTGATTTAATTATATCAATGAGCAATCATCGATATAATCGATATCATTTAATGATCGATGATTAATCATCGATGGATTGGTTAATTATATCAACGATCAATCATCGATATATGTATATATGAATATTCCGTACTTCATTCAGAATACAGAGTCAGCAAAAGGGAAAGAGATCATTAAAGGAGAGAGGGACCATTGAATAAAGTGATTGTAAAAAAATGGATGATAATAATTATTATTATTATTAGCATTACCGTAAAATTCACCTTTATTATTTAAAAAAAACAACTCACCTTTGTTGCAACTGACGTAACATAAAATCCACATTGTAGGCAGACTTGACGCTCGCAATCTGCGCACGGTAATCCTTCTTGCGCAGTGCCTGGTTCCGCGTCGGGGCTTAAAACTGTCACGTGACATATTGGACAAAGATCCTTGTCTTTCATTGATTCATGGTCAGCAAATCTACTCAGTAACGATTCGGCGTATGTCGTAAAATCTTCTTCTAAATTCCTAGTGTAGAAAAAAAATGTGATAAAAAAAAAACCATAAGCTCTGGACTAATGTGTGTATGCCTACACTATTGTCGTGGAAAATCAACAAATTTCAAATGCATATTGGTATTCATGACGTAAACAAATTATCACGGACAAATAATTAGCTCAATATAGATGATGGTCTTTGTTCATTTAAATTGTTGCAAAGTAAACATAGATTCGTAATACTTACACGTTTATCGGAAACAATATTGCGTGGTGTTTACACATTATAATGCTATTTTTACTGCATTTTACTCACTATTTTGAATCCACACTATAGATGTGGCGTAATATAATCACGACTGACGTGACATAATACATTAACGATTTTTAGAGAAAATATAAGCCTCTTGAATAATATGGTATTAGTGTATTATCTGTTTTTAGATCATAAATCCGTAATTAGCCATGTTCTTTGAGGAGGTGGATATTCGTGGTAAATATTTAACGAGGTATTTATGTGATTCTAATAGGTTTCTTGAGAGTTAGATTTGGTGTATACAAATCGTTACGACACTACTGCATGCCTCATTTATAAGTGTTAGGCACTGAGTGTTTTGAAAGAACGGTAAAGACGTCGTGTACGAGAATAAAATATAAATTGCTTGAATAGTGAATGAGGAAGACTGAATTCAGTTTCATTAATATGCACTGTTGGTGTCTTAGACAAATGAACGATCAATAAAACGCTAACCTATCGATTAACGCGTTCTTGGTGTTGGCAGATTTTGAATGGAGGCTGAGAAAAGGCAAATCCGTATAAATGCTGAGTAAACCATTTGTAGCTCCGTTGTGAATTAAACTTAAAATATATAATAATTAATATTTTGATGATGTACATTATAATATTCAAACACACACACACACACACACACACACACACACATATCATAACAATCATTGCACTCTGTGATAAATTTCATTTTGTCATATTTCCAAAGTATGGGAGCTGTCTCTTATACACATCTAGATGTGTATAAGAGACAGATATTCCACAATAGTTTACTTTAAAAATTGTTTATAACTAGGCCTTCCAACTAGGCTTCCCGACTAGACCTCCCGACCAGGCATTTCTTCCTTTTTTATAGGCCCTATTCATTGTTCAATGGATTGAACATTGAAAATAATATAGGCCTAGTTATTAGTTACAATCAATATGGCTACTTATTATCCGGTACTCGTTTATGTTTGTACTTATACTTGGATATTGACATTGCTGTAGGCCTATTTTCATTAACGATTACATAATATTTAATCAAATTAAATTAAATCAAAGTCCTGTTTGTTTTCTGATGATTATTAGTAATTGCAATATTATTATAAATGTTAATTATACAAGAACAAATTAACTGATTAAATGTTCACTTTGTGCTTAGCTCAGGGAAATCGAGTGATCTCTCCCTGGTTTGCTTAAAAATGTTTTTATTTATTGACCTTTGACCTGTGAAATTACCCGAAGTAATTAAATAAATATTGTTAATTATTTCTATGAGAGCTGTAAATGAAATATCAATTACAATCTGGGTACTATGCGTTTATTGTTGTTATTGGTGCTGTTTTGTTGTTGCTGCTGCTGTTGCGGTTATTGTTTTGTTGATGTTGTTGATGCATGGATGACAAGTTTAAACTTATTTCTCCATGGTTAATGTACGTCATGATACTGTTCTGTCACCATGTGTTACTGTCATCAACATTATTATCCTCAGCATTGTTGAAGAGTAAATGTAATGTTGTACATAAAAGTAAGGTGCACCGTAAATGTTCATACTGTTAACAATTTAATCGGCTCTTTTGTTGGTATTTTATCTACTTACATTATGAGGTGTTATGTATGACATTATTTTTATGAAACACAAAATCAGTTCATCCCGATCATTATGCACTGTCGAGACTAAAAAATTAAATTTGACATACGACATGCCTAACTATGGTCATGATGACAACACATCATGACCATATATAGGCACATCATGGCTATATATGGGCAGTTTTTTTATAGTAATTGTTATTGTCGTGATGGAATAGACAATAACTGGATTTGCGTCAGGAGAAACATAAATAGGTGTAATTTTTGCCCTACCTGACGTGGAAATGTACCGAATACTCAGTACATTTGAAAACAACTGCGAAAAATCGCAAGTTGTTCTCGGGTGGGACTCGAACCCACGACCTCCAGATCACTAGCCTGGCATCATACATCTAGACCACCGTGTTATTGTCTATTCCATCACGACAATAACAATTACTTTCAACACTGCAGTACCCGCTGCTTACTTGGACTCGAATTCAACCTTGGCCATCAGGCGCAAGCTCGGTGGTCTAGAGGTATGATGCCAGGCTAGTGATCTGGAGGTCGTGGGTTCGAGTCCCACCCGAGAACAACTTGCGATTTTTTTCGCAGTTGTTTTCAAATGTACTGAGATTCGTTACATTTCCACGT